CTATCAGTAATATTACTAATATGCGATACTTGCTTGGTTTTTGCAAGCGTTTTGGTATTTTCGGTATAAGAAGCAGATTAATGTGAATAAGAAAATAACCAGGAAAAAAGTGCAGAATCAAAAATTTAAGAAATATTAGGATCAGAGATAAGACATCAGCTCAAATAACACACCTAAAGACATATTAGGAAGCAATCAGCGTTTCATTTCTTAGCTGTAAACACAGACAAAGCACAGCGCTTGGGTGGAATGTGTTATGAAAATTTCGGTTTTTTTTTAAATAGTATAATGCATAAATATATGCCTTTGGTCTGTTTTTAACTTGTGCGAGAGTTTTTTAGCCAACCGAAGGGAAAAAAGGTCAAATTTTCTAGTTCAGTTTCAAGCTAAGCCGGTTTTTTTTGGCATTTTCAATTCAATTCAGTGACGTCTTGCAGTTCGTAAATGTGGTGATATTCTTCTTCGAATCGCTATACTTCTACATACCTCATATTTGGATTCTTTTCGTGGTCATACTATTTGAAGGATTATTTGGTGGCGCATCATATGTCAATTCATTCAGTCATATACATAATTTTGTAAGTATAATTTTTTTTATTCGTATGAAGCTCACAGCCATCGATGGCACATTAAAGTAATACATGGACCTTCCTCGTCCACATATTCGTTCAAAATTCCCCGAAATTTGCGAAATTTTGAAAATCACTCGTGCAATCATCTCATAAAAATGTTTAAGGCTAAGCCGGATGTTCGCGAATTTGCGATGTCCATCAGTTCGCTGGGCGATGCATTTGGGATTGTTGCTGCCGGATTTATGTCCATTCCGTTACATAATTACGTTTGCGGAACCAGTTTACCGAAGCATCTCACAGAGTGAAAAAGCAGCAGCTATTGCTCATAAAAATTATACAAATTGTTTCATATTTGCATATATGCAAATGGCCGCAGCAGCGACGATGATTGTGCATTCCTAAAAAATTTAGTTTTTCGACAATTCGTTTCGATGGTAACTCATTGCTGGAATTCACAAGGGTATTAGAAACTCAACACTGCCAGCAGGCTGCTTCTTCCGAAAATTCACTGGTAAAAACGAACCACCAATACTGTTCGTCTTCGTCCGTATGAGTGCAATTGTTTGAGCTGTAGACGAAAAAATGCCCCGCATTGAACTCGGCGAAATAGGATGCCCAAAATTTGTATATGTGCAGATGAAAGATA